GCTGCTGCTGCTGCTGAGGTGGTTGTGCGAGGCAGCCAAGGCGCGTGGGAGGCCACAGCGCGGCAGAAGTGCCGAGCGCCTTGACCTGAACCGCAAACCCTAAACCCTAAACCCTAAACCCTAAACCCTAAGGGAGGTTTGAGCTTCTTCTCCTGCAGCAATCAGACCAGGCGAGACAACAACAGCACACACAGGAGCAGCAGCAGCAGCAACAGCAGCACCAGAAGCAGCAAAGAAGAAACCGCATCAGCGGTAGTGGTAGCTGCAACTTCCGCAGGGGCAGCAGTAACAGCGCAAGCAACAGCAACTGCAGCAGCATCACTCGCGGCAGCAGCACTAGCAGCAACAACAGTAGCAGCAGCAGCAGCAGACTCCTCGGCTTGCCTGGCCCGCATTCTATAAGAAATCCGTGAGGAGGGGCCTGACCATTAGAAGCAGCAGCAGCAGCAGCAGCAGCCGCTGCTGCTGCTGCTTCCTTCTCTGTATCTGATGGTTCAGCACCTGGGGCGGTGAATGCTGTTGTTGCTGTTGCTGGTTCTGTCGCTGCTGCTGTTGCTTCTGTTGCTGCTGTTGCTGCTGCTGTCCCTGTCGCCGCTGCTGCTGCTGTTGCTGCTGCTGCTTCCCTCAAGAAAGTGAAGGCAAAGGCATTCCGCAGCAGCAGCAGGAGTTTGTGCAGCTGCGGTTCTCTGCCACCGTGGCAGCAGGTGCAGATTCGTTGCAGCCATTGCTGTTGCTGCTGCTGCAGCAGCAGCAAGTAATCGCCGAAGCATTCACGCTGCAGCAACACAGATGGATTGTTCCTGACAGAGGCAGCAAGACGGGCTACAGCTTCATCTGCTGCTGCTGCTGCTACTCCCGTTGCTTCTGCTGCTCCTGCTGTTCCTGTTGCTGCTGTTTCGGCTGGCACTGCTGCTGTTGCAGCTGCAGCTGCAGCAGCTTCTGCTGCTGCTGAAGGGTCACTTTCTCCTTGTTTATCTGCTGCTTCTGCTGCTGGGGAGAGGCTGATGCGCCTCCATCTATAGGTGTGCGTGGGCCGGAATGCGTTAAGTATGGTGTTGCTGCTGCTCCTGTTGCTCCTGTTTCTCGCTACTACGACGCCATCACTGTCTATGCTGCTGCAGTCGTCCTCACTGCTGCTGCCGCTGCTGTTGCTGCTGCTGCTCTCAAGCAGAAGCCACTGGTCTCCAGCTGTTGCTGCAACAGCAACCCGGGGCAGGAAGCCTCCCGGCTGTGAAGGGGGGTCAGCGGCGGCAGCAGCAGCAGCAGCAGCAGCAGAGGCGGCTGCAGCGGCAGTTTCGTCTCCTCTACTGCAGCTGCTGCTCTGCGGATGCAGAAGCATGATGACGCTGCGGCGGCCCTTGCTGCTGTTGCTACTGGCACCAGTCGATGCTGTTGCTGCTGCGCATGCTGCTGCCGCTGCTAGGATTACTGCTGCCCCTGGGATTCCTCTTTCTGAAGCAGTTGCAATTGCATCAGTATTCTTCTGGTGAGAGCGAGAGAGGCTACTCTCTGCATTTGTGTTTCTGCTGCTGTCTCGACGCGGGTCGTTCCCCCTCAGCAGCGAGAAGAAGGAAACCTACACCCTAAACCCTAAACCCTAGGCCATAAATCCATTTGACAAATACATTAAAAACTACATTAGCAACTACATTAGTAACTGCAAGCCACAACTAACGGATAAAGAAACCTCAGCTTTGCAGTGTTGAACTCCTGGGGGGCCCCTGCCGCCGAGTAGTACCCTGAGGCTCTGCATGGTGTAATGACCTCCGCGGGTCAACCGGGATTAACCCTAGTCAGATTATGTGCCTTACAGCAAAGGTTGGTTCGTATCCGGAAACATTAAGCCAAAACTCAGTTAGAATAAAGGGTCCTTTCAACGTCTTTCGAAATCAAAGAACTCATTCTTCCCCCGGGGACACCCCCCTAGCCTCTGCAGGGCCGCTTGGGCCGCCATCCACTGGATGCGGCTGACTCATGCCGCACTGTGTCGGCCTCTGTTCCTGTCTGATATCAGCTACGGTCCTTGTGTGCCGAGTCTACTATTTA